GGAAGGAAGGAAGGAAGGAAGGAAGGAAGGAAGGAAGGAAGGAGAGAAAAGGGAGGGAGGGGGGAAGGAAGGGAGGGGGAAGGAAAAGAAAAAGGAAGAGGAAGGAAGGAGAGAAAAACATGGAGGGAGAAAAGAAAAGGGAGGGAGAAAAAGAAGGAAAGGAAAGGAAGGAAAGGAAAGGAAAGGAAAGGAAAGGAAAGAATATCCATTCCTAAGAGGCCTGTAAGGGGCGTGCATAAGTGCACCATCGTGCCTCCCGTCCCTGTCCTATTGTCCCAATTTATTTGTACCTATTTCCTGTATTCTTACTCACATTTATTCTGATACCTATTATCTTGTAAGCGATGGACAAATCAAATCAATAAAATAAAATAAATCAATAAAATAAATATGTGATTTACATTGCTGAACTGATTTGTTTGTTTGTTTTTTCAAAACAAGGTGGTTTTTAAACACACGCACATATACATGCAGTATTGTTAAACCGCTCAACGTTTACCTGACAGCTCGGATGACCATCTTCAGTGTGGGGATGAGGTCTTCCATGAGCAGCTCATTGCTGTATCCCCGGTCTTCTGCCAAGGGGTCCCCTGTTCCAGCATCTAAGATAAGGACCAGATAGATAATCCAGATGCAGAAGAGATTAGAACAATGTGAATAAAACTCATACAATATCCAAACATCTTATTCAGGCTGGAATCATTTAAAATCATGGATCCTGAACATGTTCTGACCCAAACCTTGTTCCAAGGAAACAAACATGAAACACAGGTAACAGCAGAACCTTTTAATGATTCTTTACGAATTCCATTCCTTCCCGGTTAAAAGGCTGCTTCAAACTAATTGTCTCTGATAAGAATGAGCCTTGCCAAGGTTGTGCAAGGCTGCCAAGAACAGTAGATAAAGTTGCCGAGAAATATTTCAAACACAAGGAGTCTCCAAACACCAACCAAGGTATTCTGAACGTCCACAAGGCTTGAGTGCAAAAACTTCTTTGCTTCCTGCAAAGAACTCCAGTTTCTCAGCTGGCTTTTATCTCTTAAGGGAGGGGCCATTACCTTCCAGCCTTACTCCCGAGCCGCCCGTGCTGCTGCAGCTGCTGTTTCCTTCAAGCAGCCCTGTGCGCATGTGCACTGGGCACAGGCTCCTCGGGGGCCTCTTCATCACTGCTGCCAGCCTCCACAATCTCCGAAGGCAGCATTCCACTCCCTGATGGTCCTATCCCTATCTCTTCATCACATGCAGGCCCCTCATCTGAGTCCTTGCTCTCTGAGACCTCAGCTGTCCACATTTGCTGTTGGCGAACCACAACATAACATTCAGATAACAGATAATCAGAGTTGGAAGGGACCTTGTAGGTCATCTAGTCCAAGCCCCCACCCAAGCGGGAGACCCTACACCATTTCTGACAAATGGCAGTCCAATCTCTTCTTGAATGCCTCAAGTGATGGTGCTCCCACAACTTCCGAGGGAAAGCTGTTCCATTGGTTGATAGTTCTCACTGTCAGAAAATTCCTCCTTATTTCCAGGTTGAATCTCTCCTTGTTCAGTTTCCATCCATTATTCCATCCACAATAGAATGGTCGTGTTATTAATAAGTGCACTGAATATCAAAAGTCAAGAGTCAAAACAATGAGTGCAGATATAGTTCTCTGAAAAATACCCTTCAGGTTTAAACATATTTGTCTTAAAAGTCCCAGGATTAAAAACTGGGAATCAAAATATTTTTCTTGTACAAGTACCACTTGATTTACAACCACTCGTTTAGAGGTCGCTCAAAATTACAACGGCGCTGGAAAAAGTTACTTCCAACCAGTCCTCACACTTATGACCATTGCAGCCTCCCCAGGGACACATGATCAAAGTTCAAGCGCTTGCAACCAGCGTGCACTTTATGATGGCTGCAGCGTTCCCAGGATCGCTGTTTGCAAGCTTCCCAGCCAACAAGCAAAGTCCCTGGGGAATGCAGGATTCCCTTAAGGACTGATGTGGTTAATTTAACAGCTGCTGTGATTTGCTTAACAACCATGGCAGGAAAGGTCACAAAATGGACGTGCCTCACTTAAGCAACTGCTTCATTAGCAACGGAAATTCTGGTCACCAATGTGGCTGTAAGTCGAGGAGGATCTGTATTAGGAAAACAGTACAGTGTTCCGTTTCAACTCAGCTCAGAAGAAAAAGCCAGCAAAATAAATTAAGCAGGTTTATTAACCATGCAGGGATTCTCTTTTGACTCCGCCCTCAGATTCTACCACTCTCGCTCCTGCAATTACATTCTAAGAAAGTTTACACATACAGAGAGGGAGGGAGGAAGGAAGGAAGGGAGGGAGGGAGGAAGGAAGGAAGGAAGGAAGGAAGGAAGGAGTTTACCTTCTGAGCTTTGCCAGAATGCATAAGCTTTCATTCGGAAGGCAGTGCGCAATCGATCTCGGTTAATCAGGACAACGTTCTTAGACTCTTTGGAAGGACTTTCTTCAATTGCTTCTACATTCAGAGGAGTAAACAGCTTTCCTTTAGGATTGCTACCACGAACCCGATCCAAGAGACCCAGCTTTTGGCTAAGAAAAGAGAAGGAAAAGAGTCATTTTTTTTTTTTAACAATCCCTCATTTGAAATCTAGTTTGTCCATCATGGTATTTACATCAGGTGGGCAACAGCCAGTGTGATACACAGTCTTCTTCTTTGCTCCCTTAAAGTGGCCACTGAAATCTGATGCAAAAAAAATGGCTCATTTTCTGTGCGTGTGTGCGTGCACACACACTTGTTTTTCTGTTCCTTTTTCTTAAAAAGTGGGGGATTTTAAGTAGAACCAATCACCAGGGGACCATGAGTTCTAGTCCTGCCTTAGGTATGAAAATTGGCTGGGTGACTTTCAGCCAATCGCTAGAAGACTGTGAGTTCTAGTCCGGCCTTTGGCATGAAAGTCATCAGCTTAGGGACCTGGGGTCAGTCACTCTCTGGCAGGCCAACTCACTTCACAGGGTTATGGGAAAAATAGGAGAGGGGATATTAGGTGTGATTGTCACCTTGCATTCTATTGTCTAGGGGATGGCTCCTCATAGATCGCTTCTTTGGTTTCCATTTTTTTTTTAAGAGCTGTAACTATCAGAGGAGAATGCTGTAATTCCCCTTAGTCAAGTTTTTGGTGTCCAATTGTTTATGATTAATTTTCTCATGTTCTTCTTTTGTTGTACTTGTGTTTTGGTCTGTGACCGCAAATAAAGTATTATTATTATTATTACCTTGCATTGATGGAGGCAGCTTTCCCCCAGCCAGCTTTCATGCCCGAAGTGGGACTAGAATTCACAGTCTTCTTGTGATAAACCCAAAGTCTCCCAGCCAGCTTTCATGCCTAAAGTGGGACTAGAACTCTCCATCTCCTGGTAATTGGCTCAAAGTCACCCAACTAGTTTTCAGGCCTAAGGTGGGACTAGAACTCACCATCTCCTGGTTCCTAGGCCAAAACTTTAACCATTAGACCAAACTGAGTCTCTTCTCTTTCTTCTGGATTCTAGTTCAGGTGTTATCTTTTTCAAAGTAAGAATGTGGGATGTAAAAGGAATGGTCTACTTTTGAGGCACTGGGAGAATCTGCAATTCCAGTATCCAGGTTCACCAGACCTTGATAATGTAGCCAAGCCTGGTCACTTAAGGAAGACATTTTGGTTTGCATTATAATTTAGAGAGCCTGTCTTCCGCTGATCGCTATGCTGAAATACCTCCTGTTTCTTCTCTCTGTCCCTTCAGACCAAAGAAGAGACAGGATGTGCAAATTTCTCTCCTTCACACCCATTTCTTCTGACAGCTTCTTGGTGATTTCTCAGATCTTGAAGTGAGAAACTTGGTGGTTCTAATTTGTTAATTCCCCAAGGAAAGGATAAAAATAGGCCTCATCTGAGGCCTGACAGTGGGAGGAAGATGCTCCCTCAGCTGAGAAAATCTCCCGTGTTTTTCTCTTTCTGTCCTCATGGACTCAGTTTCTGCCAGATCCTTCACCTTTCTCTACCTTTTAACCTTCCTTTATCCCGCTTATCTTCCTAGTTCTTCTAAAATCACCAAAGCCCACAGCTAGCCCTCGACTTACGACAACAGTTCAGCCCAATATTTCTGTTACTAAACAATTGTGTGGTGAATTTTGCCCCAACTTTCTTGCCCCATTTCTTAAGTGAATCACTGCATCTGTTTAGTCACTAACATGGTTGTTAAGTGAATCTGGTTTCTCCACTGACTTTGCTCAACAGACGGTCACAAAAGGGAATCACATGACCCCGGGACATTGCAACCGTCATAAATATGAGTCACTTGCCGAGCCTCTGAATTTTGATCACATGACCAAGGAGATGCTACATCATCATCATCATCATCATCATCATCTTTTAATGACCCCATAATCCCTTGCGGGGTAGAGTCAGGGCAACTGAATGGAGCCAGCAGAATGTTCAATGGCCGGATGCCCTTCCTGTTGCCAATGTGGAGTTTTGTTCAGTAGATATATTCTCAGTGTGTCCAGAGAGAGAAATACCTGCCTCTACCTTAGGATCAAATTCACAGCCTTCCTGATTTTGAAGTGAGAGTTCCCCTCTAGACTATTGTACCACTCCAACAAGGAGATGTTACAAAGGTTGTACATGTGAAAAGAAAGTCATAAGTCACTTTTTTCAGTGCCACTGTAACTTTGAATGGCCACTAAGCAAGTGGTTGTAAGCAGAGGTGGTATTTAGCAGGTTCTGACCAGTTCTGGAGAACCGGTAGTGGAAATTTTGAGTAGTTCAGAAAACCAGCAAATTCCACCTCAGGCTGGAGAATTTACAGTATCCTTCCCCTGCCACACCCACCAAGCCATGCCCTGGTAGTAAAAAAAACAACTGAATCCCACCATTGGTTGTAAGTCAAGGACCGACTGTATTGTATTTTACTGATAAGTCTGCCTTAAAATTTGTGAATACTGTCTTTCAAACGTCACTTTCCCCAACCTCCATAACTCATCTGAAGGAAGCCACTTGGAAAAGATATTCTATTAAAAGAAACGCCAACCACACTGGAGATCTGAAGTACATACCTGGTTCCATCCACTTGTTCTTTCCTTTAGGAAGATTGAAACAGAGAGAAGAAAAGTGAGAGCAAGACAATGGGGGAAAAAGAGAAGTTAAATAGAATATTAAACTTCAAAGAAAATTAGCGTTATTGGTTTCGACACCTAGTGGCTACATTTGCATATCATATTTAACCCAGTTGCAGGATTAAAAATGAGATGTGTTTGAATGATATGTTCCAGTTTGTGTTAATCCAATAGTTTCACTCGATGGGCTGAGATACAATAAAGCGAAACCAGGTTAAAAGTAACCAAACGTTGCAGGATGTACAAATGATGCATGGTTTCATTACGCTTATTGTGCAAAGTCTGCCAATAAGGATTCTACTCATACATTTTTCCTGCTCTATTCTGGGAACTTCTATTCTTATATAGAACTAGCTCTATACCCGTGCTTTGCTACAAAACTATGTGATCGGGCTTAGTTTTGGGGGAGGAAAATAAGGGGGGAAAATTGTGCCTCTGTCTACCAGCATCCATCGGTATTCATCTGGCTAGTGTCCTGTCAGTGTGTGAGAGAGTTGAGGGCTGTTTGGAAATTCAAATATGCAAAGTGAAACGGTATTTGCTGTGTGAGCAAGAGGAAGGCAGCAATGACCCTGGGCATGGCTTAGCTCAAGTGTTCTGTTTCACAGCTGCTTGGTGCTGTGAAACTAAAACTGAAACTCCTCTCCTCTGCTTGTGTTTTGCATTTGGAACAGATTTCTTTTCAGCTGGGGAGGGGGAGTAGAACTCCTTAGCATCAGAGCGTGTTAATAATATGATAGGAAATGCTAATGCTCTGATGGTCATTTTGAAAAAATCCTTTCTTAGTGAGCATCTAGAAGCCAAGAGGAACATTATGTGTCAAATTTCAAGTTTGTAGGCTTTACAGTTCTGGAGATGTTGTGATGATGCATGAGTGGTATTTCACTTTAGCTAGCTAGGTAGATAGATAGATAGATAGATAGATAGATAGATAGATAGATAGATAGATAGATAGATAGATAGATAGATAGATAAAGATAGATATAGATGTATATATAGATGTATATATAGATGTCAAGTTGATACCGCTCCCTCCTTCAGGCAATTTATGGCTGTGTGCATGGTCCCTGTGTGACTGTTTGAAATTTGTAACGATTCAATGAAAACATAAATCAATCAATCAATCAATCTTATGTTTATTGTCAATGCACTACATGTGTACAATGAAATTGAAAAACCATGGGGATAGGAAGGAGTTTCCCCAGTACTGAGGGAATGCCCTCATATTGGCCATCTTGTTGGGATAGAAGTTCTACTGACATACTTTTATTGTTGCCTTCTATTTGATGAAAGCTCATCATTTACATGATGAAAACTCCTTTATTTCAGAACAAATGGACACCAAAATGTTGCATCTTCTTTTTAAAAGCATCCACAACAGAGCCAAAGATGCTTTTTCCAATTGGTCTTTGCTTTTGCTTGAAGGCATTTCACTTCTCATTCGAGAAGCTTCTTCAGTTCACTTCCTGGATGAGAAGCAAAGTGTCTTCAAGCAAAAACAAAGAAAGTCCGGTTGCCTTTTGAACAAGCATCTTTGGGACAACCATGACCTGGATGACTGACGATTTCCATGGACATCCACAAGAGAGTCCTGCAACAAACGCTGCATTATGGAATCTTTTTGGGAGGCTCCAACCAGCTGAGATGGATTTATTTATTTTATTTATTTTATTTTGTCAATCGCTTACAAGATAATAGGTATAAGTATAAACATAGTTATGAATACATGAGATGGATATGTATAAGAAAAATAAAAAAAACAATAGGATAGGCACGGCGGGCACGATTGGTGCACTTATGCACGCCCCCCACGAGCCTCTTAGGAAAGGGGTGAGATCAATAGTAGACAGTCTAAGGTTAAAGTTTTTGGGGTTTGGGGAAGAAACCACAGAGTCAGGTAGAGTATACCAGACATTGACCACTCTGTTGCTGAAGTCGTGTTTCCTGCAATCAAATTTGGTGCAGTTAAACTTGAGTTTGAAGACACTGATCACACTGTTGCTGAAGGTCATCCTTCCTTTCTTCCTTCCTTCCTTTCTTCCTTCCTTCCTTTCTTCCTTCCTTCCTTTCTTTATTTATTTATCAAGCAAGTATTAGATAACAGGTATAAGTATAAACATGGTTATGAATACATGAAATGGATATGAATAAAAGGGAGACATTAGGACAGGGACGGTAGGCACGTTGGTGCGCTTATGCACGCCCCCTACAGACCTCTTAGGAAAGGGGTGAGGTCAATAGTAGACAATCTAAGGTTAAAATTTTGGGGGTTTGTGGAAGAAACCACAGAGTCAGGTAGAGTATTCCAGGCATTGACTACTCTGTTGCTGACCACTGATGTATCTGCTGAGGGTTCTTAATATGTTTCCTCCTCCCCCTTATGACCCAAACCCCACCCAGATTTTTGCAGAGGTTTCTCCAATCAGTCAGCATCCCATGGTCGCAAACAGCTAAGACTTACTGATTTCTGTTGCGATTTCTGCTCAGAAGGGTTTGTGCCAAAGCTGTTTGTATGGTTCTTCAATCATATAAACCCACAATCCTGCCATCATTGGTGTTTGGGTTACATAAGGATCCTCCCAAAAATGCTTTTTCAAAAGGCAACTGGGTGTTCCGGTTTTACTCGGAAGACACTTCGCTTAACATCCGAGAAGCTTCTGAAGCTCTGACTGGATGGTGAGGAATAGAAGGATTTATACTCCTTACAGACAGCTGGTCATTTGCATTGTTTTCATCAACTTCATCACTTCATCAACTCGATGGCACAACATAGGAGAACAAACCCATCGGGGTAAGATTCAGCAGTCCATCTGCATTTAGAAAATGAAGGCTATTCTTTTGAAGACAGCCAAGTCCACGTTTTGGACAGAGAGGATCGCTGGTGTGAGAGATGGCTCAAAGAGGCCATCTATGTCAAAACTGAACAGCCATCACTCAACAGAGGAGGAGGGATATGACATTATCTATCTCCAGTCTACAGCAGAGTCCTTTCAACAGCTACAACAAGGCTCCACACCCATTTGCACTAATCAGGTGACCCTGAGGACAGAGATAAACCTCCAGGTAGCCTCAACTACTCTTTAAAATACCAACTATCTGCAAGGAGTATAAATCCTTCCATTCCCCACCATTCAGTCAAAGCTGAATTAACAGAGGGATACAATCAAGATCAAGGGAGGCACCAATACCACTCTATAAAGCCTTAGAAAGACCACACCTAGAGTACTGCATCCAGTTTTGGTCACCACACTATAAAAAAGATGTTGAGATTCTAGAAAAAGTACAGAGAAGAACAACCAGGATGATTAGAGGACTGGAGACTAAAACATATGAAGAACAGTTGCAGGAACTGGGCATGTCTAGTCTAGTGAAGAGAAGGACCAGGGGAGACATGATAGCAGTCTTCCAATATTTGAGGGGCTGCCACAGAGAGGAAGGGGTCAAGCTATTTTCCATGGCACCTGAAGGCCAGACAAAGAATAATGGATGGAAACTGATCAAGGAAAGATTTAGCCTGGAAATGAGGAGAAACTTTCTGACAGTGAGAGCAATCAACCCATGGAACAGCTTGCCCTCGGCAGTTGTGTGAGCTTCATCGCAGGAAGCTTTCGAGAAGAGATTGGACTGCCATTTGTCAGAGATAGTGTAGGGTCTCCTACTTGGATGGCGGGGGGGTGGACTAGATCAGTAGTCGCCAATCGGTGGGCCCTGAGAAAATTTTGGTGGACCACAGAGAAATCTCACCCCCAGAGCACCCCCCACAAAGCAATTAATCCAGCTATGCAGAAACACAAGTGTTTCATCCCCCATATGGCCCGTGGGAACCGTCCCCACCCACTCACTCCTTACCCAGTAAACTTGCCTGCTAAATTGCTATTTTTCCTTTTTCCGACCATCATCTGTTCTGCTGTGCTGGGAGATTTAGATTAGCTAGGAAGCAGAAAATTGTTGGATTTCTTGCTTTCTAGCTAACCTTTAGATCTTCAGCTCAGCACAGTTGAACCTCCCATAGGACTGAAGGTTTACTTGCAAGCAAATTCAGTGCAGACTCACAGCAAGCAAATTTGAGAGACTGAGCTAGCCGATGGCAGATAGATAGATCACTGAATGATTCTGTGAGCAACTCAATCTGCTTGCTTTGCCTGATTTTGGGCAAAAGTTGCTCTTTTTTATATAAAAAATTCATTATTTACATGCATGGTGTGTTGTGAGTTAATTTTGTGAGTTTGCTTGCAAGCAAATTTTATGAGTTTGCTTGCAAGCAAATTTTACTGAGCTAGAAAATGGCAAATAGATCTCTGAATGAATCTGTGATTCTGTGAGCAACTCAGTCTACCTGCTTTGCCTGATTTTGGGTAAAAATTGCTCTTTTTTATAAAAAATTCAATATTGATATAAATATTTATAATATTTACATAAAAGCCATGCCCAGCCAGTCACATGATCACCAAGCCACACCCACAAATTAGACCACGCCCACAGAAACGGTTAGTGGTCCTTGGGATTTAAAATTATGAGTTTGGTGGTCCCTGAGGTCCGAAAGGTTGACGACCCCTGGACTAGAGGACCTGCAAGTTCCCTTCCAACTCTGATTATCTGTTATCTGTCATCTGTTATCTGTTCTTGGATGAGAAGCAAAATGTCTTCCAAGAAAAACCAGAAAGTCCAGTTACTTCTTGAAAAAGCACCTTTGGGACAACCATGACCTGGATGACTGAGAATCTCCATAGACATATAAACAGGGGTGGGATTCAAATTTTTTAACAACTGGTTCTGTGGGAGTGGCTAAGTTGGTAGGCATGGCTTGGTGGTCATGTGACTGGCTGGGTGTGGCCAATTCAATATCACTCACATCGAGGCATGCATCTCCTCGCCTGGCCTCATGAGGATGCTGCAACAGTCGTAAGTGTGAAAAATGGTCATAAGTCACTTTTTTCAGTGCCATTGTAACTTTGAGTGGTCACTCCACACAAGCAAAGTACCAGGAAAGGAGGAATAAAAACTCCAGAGAAGTTCCTGAGACTGGAAGTCCAGTCCTGCCAAGAATGTAATAAGAGTTAATGGAGAGGCAGTTTCTGTAAGCAACACCAGAATGTTTCCTTCCTGCCTTCCTTACAGGATTAGGCCAGTAATTTCTTCTAACAACCGGTTCTCCGAACTGCTTAGAATGTTAACAACCGGTTTTAGCAAATAGGTGCAAACCAGTAGAATCCCACCCCTGCATATAAAGAACCTGTTCACTATTAAAATATAAAATATCTTCCCAATCGAGGTCCTTTAAACATGCTAGACCTGCTAGACCCATAACCCTCAGGTAGCAAGAAGCCACTGAAGGAGGGGTCTCCCGGTGATAACAACATTCTTCCCCTACTTTTCCATTACAAAGCTGGTCCTTTCACATTTCCTCCTTTCCAGTTTGGCTTAGACGATCCTTCAAAGAAATTTAAATTGAGACACTGGACCAAAAAATGTCCCAATGTACAGAACTTACCTGAAATATGGGAATGATACCACAGTCTCGTAAAACCTCCACGTGGCAACAAGATCTATCCTATTAGGATTAGTAGCGTAGTACCTCCAGGCAGCCTAGGAAACGCAAGAGAACTATGAGAAACGCAGGTTCTTGTACGTGTATGTCTAATAAACAAATGTTATGTGGAAAATTATCTTATAGATTATCTAAGTAAAGGTAAAGTTTCCCCTCACACATACGTGCTAGTCATTTCTGGCTCTAGGGGGCAGTGCTCATCTCCATTACAAAGCAAAAGAGCCAGCGTTGTCCGAAGACGTCTCCGTGGTCATGTGGCCGAAGGCGCACAGAACACTGTTACCTTCCCACCAAAGTGGTCCCTATTTTTCTACTTGCATTTTTTACGTGCTTTCGAACTGCTAGGTTGGCAGAAGCTGGGACAAGTAACAGGAGCTCAGTCCATTACATAGCACTAGGGATTCGAACCACCGATCTGCCGACCTTTCTGATCGACAAGCTCAGTATTAAGTATTAATCAAATTAAATATATTGAGCAATGCAAGAGACAAAATCTGGTTTGTTACTGATTCTTCATTCCTACACTCACCCCACATGCCTGGCCTGGCCACCAGGCTGCTTCTTTCTGCTTCTTTCTTCTGCTTTTGGCTGCATGCAAGGAAAGCAGCAGAAGTCTCTCTTTCTCTCCCCCAAACTCTGCCAGAAATGAGTCTTTGGGACCCTGCAAGGGATCCTGTTCCAAGAGGCTGCCCCAGCGTGAGAAGTCTCACAAAGACTCATTTCTAGTGGAGTTTGGGGGATAGAAAGAAAGACTTCTGCTGCTTCTGTTGCTTTCCTTGCATGAAGCCAAAAGTCTCTCCCCACCCCTTCGAGAACAGAGCTGGAGATGGTATCCTGCGATCCCAAATAAAGAATGATCAATCGGTAGGAAAACGGGGTGGGGAATTTTCCTGCAGACTTTTTGGGGGATTTTCCCAGGGTCTGTGGTCCACAGGATTTAAAATTATGAGTTTGGTGGTCCCTGATGTCCAAAAGGTTGGTGATCCCTGGTCTAGAGGACATGACGTTTTTGCAGAAAGTAGCATGTAAAGGAAGATCTGAAATGCATACAACTCCAACTGTGATGTCCAAGCCAAGAGAACTGAGATCAGTCAGCCCCTATGTGTAGGAGAAGAGCAGTCAGATCCTGGATGGGTGGAGTCAAGCAAGTCATCAGACTAGAATCCTTATGTTCCCACTGACAGTCTAGGTCCAATCTCTCTGGAATTCCATTGACTCTTATCTACTACCAATTTAGGGAGATTAATGTCAGGCACAAAGAATCAGGACCACACACAGAGTTCCAGTGAAGATCAGTAGTGAAATGCTACCGGTTCGGCCCAGTTCAAGTGAACTGGTGGCGGGTTCAGCCAACTGGTGGTTAAAAAAAGCTCTGATGATCAGCTGAGAGGAGAAAGAAGGAGAAAAGCCAGGATCAGCCATCCCACCTGCCCCTTCACTTTTGTGTTCTTTATCCTCTCAGCTGATTGGTGTGGCAGGACCTCAGCTGATGTTTGACAAGCTGCGCACATGTGCGCATGCATGAAGTACGCTATCACCCAACCGGTAGAGAAACTGGTAGAATCCCACCACTAGTTAAGATGATTTATTGTTCATGCCAAGAATCTAGCCAACTAACAGCACTAAATTGAAGCTAGATAAGAGTCAACAGAATTCAAGTGGGGTTGGACTTATACTGTTTGAACGTCAAAGACTTTAGGCTGATGACTTACTTAACTCCCTCTCCAGCCACTGCCTGCTCTTCTCCAGAAGTCTCCATATTTGGCAACGTTAAGACTTTAAGCCAGCTGAGGAATTCTGGGAGTTGAAGTCCACTAGTCTTAAAGCTGCCAAATTTGGAGACCCCCTATCCTACATTATGGCTTTCAAAGGCCCGGTTGTTATGCACGCTTCCAACCCCGTGTCACGGAAAAGCAGGATGTGCAAACCTGTATGAGTTCAGCTGCCGGTTTCCTTCTTTTTTCAAAGTGCTTTTGGCGATGTTGTTCCTGGACTTTTAGGGCCAGTCCTGAACCCAAAATGCCCTGTAAGTCAAGACGAACAAATCAATGCTTGAAATATTTCTTCGTGAAAAATGTAGGATGCAATAAAAAAAATTGGTGACCACATAACAAGGAGTTAGAATCTGTTCTTTCTCGTAATTTTTCAGGGCAGCAGAAGCTGAATGCGATCCAATGAAGCCTGGAGGAAATGAGATTTGAGACTAGGAATGCTCATAAAAATTATAGCAAGAAGAATATAAGACACATGGGACACTTTATCACCATCTGCTGTTGTTGGTGCTTCCACAGTCAAGAATGCCAATTTCTTCCCTCTGTTCTGCCTACCATTTCTTGGGACTAACAAGTAACTCTTCGATTCAATATTCCAAGCAGGCCTCACACTCACCAAGTTTGGATCATACTTAACAGGTCACCCTTGCTTTCCTGTGGTTAGGATTTCTAATTCCTCCTGTCTATTACCCATATCCTGTACAAGGATATACAGGTTCCACTTATATTATGACTGTAATGGCGCTTGCATATTATGCTTGCAAGTTATAACAGTGGTAAAACAATTTTGCTGGGTTTTTGCAGCAGTCATTATGCGAGCATGATGGTTCTAAGTGCAAACTCCTGGTTCGTTATAGGTAGTGCTTCGACTTACGACCACAACTGAGCCACAAATTTTGGCTGCTAAGCAAGACAGTTGCTAAGTGAGTTTTGACCCATTTCATGTCTTTTCCTAAACAATTGTTTAAGTAAATTACTGCACTTGTTAAATTTATTTATGTGTCCTTCAGTGTGATGGGGAGAATTTCCTTTTATTTATTTATTTATTTATTTTGAAAGAGAAGCAAATTTCACTGGCGTTCTCATTAAGGTAGAGGGCATTCTGGAACTTATTTGTAACAGATTAACAGAGTTGGAAGGGACCCTGTAGGCAAGGTTGGGATACTACCAGTTCAGCCTGTTTCAGGAAAACTTGTATCTCTGAGGATCACCTGGGAGCGAACCAGTTCAGTTTGCTCCAACGATCAGCTGTTGGGCCCACCCACCTGCCCGGGCTCTGGGCTGTGCTTTATATCCTGTTTTTCAAGTTCAGCTGATTCGCGCGGCACAGCAGATTGCCGCTCGTCAGTTGTTTAACACACAGTCATTGCTGGAGAAGGTCAGTAGCAAATACTCTGTGCACACGCAAAGTGCACACTCATCAAACTGGTTGTTACACCGGTTGAATGGCACCCCTGCTTGTGGGTCATCTAATCCAACCCCCCATCCAAGCAGGAGACCCTACACCATTTCTGACAGATGGCTGTCCAATCTCTTCTCGAAAGCTTCCTGTGATGGCGCTCCCACAACTTCCGAGGGCAACTTCTATTCCATGGGTGGATTGTTCTCACTGTCAGAAAGTTTCTCCTTATTTCCAAGTTAAATCTCTCTTTGATCAGTTTCCATCCTTATCTGGCCTACAGGTGCTTTAGAAAATAGTCTGACCCCTTCCTTTCTGTAGCAGCCCCTCAAATATTGCTCTTCTGTCTCGCCTGGTCCTTCTCTTCACTAGACTAGCCATGCCCAGTTCCTGCAACCGATCATCATATGTTTTAGCCTCCAGTCCCCCAATTTGGCTTCAATGTGACCATAGAATATGGTGTTTGTTTACTGCTTCATTGCACAATTTTATCAGCATTCTGCCATTTCTCTGACTTCCCATTAAATCTCATAGGATGATGCGAGTTAAAACCCTATCTTGACTGAATAGAATAGAGCTGGAAGGGACCTTGGAGGTCTTCTAGTCCAGCCCCCTGCTCAACCAGGAGATCTTATACCATTTCAGACAAGTGGCTGTCCAGTCTCTTCTTAAAATCTTCCAGTTCTGTTATACAGGTAGTCCTCGACTTACAACCGTTCATTTAATAACCGTTCAAAGTTACAACGGCACTGGAAAAAAAGTGACTTTTTCAAAGTTACGACTTTAGAAGCCTCCCATTATCAAAATTCAGGCGCTTGGCAACTGGTTCGTACTTACGACCGTTGCTATGCGTCCCAAGTTCACATGATCCCCTTTTGCAACCTTCCAACAAACAAAGCCAATGGGGAAGCCAGATTCCTAACTCATCCACCGCAGAGATTCATTGAACAGCTGTGGCAAGACAGGTTGTAAAATGAGGCAAAACTCACTTAATAACAGAGATTATTGTTGCTGGTAGGAAAAACAGGATATAAATGAAGCAAAAAAAATGAATTGATTGTTAATTTTTTAAATGGCAGCTAGATTAGTGATGGCCTCTATAGAACTGCTGATCCAGTTCTACAGAGGAATTATTGAGTCTGTCCTCTGCACCTCTATAACTGTCTGGTTTGGTCCTGCAACCCAACAGGACAGACACAGACTTCGGAGAGTAATTGGAACTGCAGAAAAAACAATTACTACCAACCCGCCTTCCATCGAGGACCTGTACACTGCACAAGTCAAAAAGAGGGCTGTGAAAATATTTACAGGCCCCTCATATTCCGGACATAAACTGTTTCAACTCCTACCCTCAAAATGATGCTATAGAGCACTGCACACCAGAACAACTGGGCACAAGGACAGTTTTTTCCCGAACGCCATCACTCTGCTAAACAAATAATTTCCTCAACACTGTCCAACTATTTACTAAGTCTGCATTACTATTACTGTTAATCCTCTCATCACTCTTTATCACCCATCCCCTCCCACTTGTGACTGTATGACTGCAACTTTGTTGCTTGTATCCTTATAATTTATATTGGCTGTTTCCTAGTATGATTTGATTGCTTATTGTACCCTATGACTATTATTAAGTGTTGTACCTGATGATTCTTGACTCTTGACAAATGTATCTTTTCTTTTATGTATACTGATTGCATTTGCACCAAGACAAATTCCTTGTGGGTCCAATCACACTTGGCCAATGAAGAATTCTATTCTAAATATTGGGGGCGAAATTGGGATATTCCAAGAAATGAGGGGTATTATGAAATTTGGAGTAAGGCAACAAATGATAAATTAACAACAGAAATTAAATTTTAAAAAGGATGATTAAAGCAAATGATTATAATGTAATATGGGGGGATTTTATAAAAACAGTGTGGGTGGAAGGCAAAAGGGAAAAAAACGTACTCAAGAATATAGGTTGTTTTGGAGGAGATAAGGTCACAATTGGAATATATTGTATATCTGTTAATTATTATAGAATAAGAAATATAAGTGGGAAAAAGGTCTCGGGTTGGGGGAATGCACTGTAATATTTATATATTTTTTTCTTTTTCTCTTTATTTGTATTTAGATGTATATGTTTGTGGTTTTTGTATTCAAAATAAAAATTATTAACAATAAAAGAAGCAACGGAGATTGGGGCTCGATTGTGATCGTAAGTCAAGGACTATCTCCATTGAAAAGTTTGAGCAGCTAGTATGGCACCAAAGCAATGGAGAAATACATCACGGAAGCCAGCAATGCCTTTACTACCTCCAACATTAAAAGAAAAAAAATCAAGAAGAAATTCTCAAGCATACAGAAACGGATGCCCTTTATATTTGCAGAGGAAGAAACTTTCTGGAATTGCAAGAAAGATTTCAGGGCAGAACCAGTGGTGGGATTCTACTGGTTCAGCCTGGTTTGAGCAAACCAGTAATAAAAAAAAAACGCTACCGGTTTCGCCAAACCGGTCTTTCTGACGATCAGCTGTGCCACGCGATTTAGATTAGCTAGAAAGCAGGAAATCATCGGATGTCTTGCTTTCTAGCTAATCTAAATCGCACGGCACAGCTGATCCTCCCTCGCTATTGTACTTCCCTCACCAGGAGGTTTCCCTCGAGGCCCAGTAGGCAAAAAATGGGGTGCAAGGAGGGGTGTTGCATGGCCCCCCCCATGCCCCATTTTTGCTCCCAGGAGCCTTCCCTGAGGCCAATAGGCAAAAAATGGGGCGTAGGGGGGGTGCTGCGAAAGGGGGAAAAAACCCACCACATAGCCACGCCCGCCCAGTCACATGATCACCTGGCCACTCCCACCTGGCCACGCCCACGGAATCGGTAGTTTAAAAGTTTGAATCCCACCACCGGGCGGCACCCTTCTCTCTCAGGAGGTCCTTGAGGAAACTTACAGCCGGAAGGGCAAAAAATGAAACTCCGATTAAGGAAAACCCTGCTGCGATCAAGCGCCCTTCCCAGGTTTTGGGTGTCTTGTCCCCGTAGCCGATTGTTGCCAGCGTAATCTGTGGGGAGAAGGTTTGGGACAGTCTGTAAGAAAGACAAAGCAAACGGGCAAGAAGAATGATTCCTTGGCATTTCCAGAGGCCCCCCTTCCACACCCAGACTTCTGCATCTCACCTGACTGGCAAGGCTGAGGAGCTATGCCCTGGAGGGCCCTGGGCACTTACTACTGTCCGTAAGATTTTTCAGTCTGCTGGAATATGGTGCAGAACGGTCATTCCGCAAGTTTTGTTTTCACACAAGACTGTAAAATGTTTTCTCCTTCCTATCTTCTCCTAGTCTCCCTTCATCCCTTCCTCCCTTCTCCCCTTCCATACCTCCATCCACCCCTACTCTTTCTTTCCTTCCTTCCTTCCTTCCTTCCTTCCTTCCTTCCTTCCTTCCTTCCTTCCTTCCTCCCTTCCTTCCTTCCTTCCTTCCTCCCTTCCTTCCCTTCTTTCTCCTTCCCTCCTGCCTTTCCTCCCTCCCTCCTCCCCATCTATCCATCCATTCATCCCCTACTCCTTCCTTCCTTCCCCTACTTGTCTTCCTTCTCTTACCCACTCTCCCATCGATCTCCTTCCTTCCCCCCACCCATCTCCCTTCCTTCTCGAACCCCTCCCTCCCTCCCATCCTTCCTTCTTTCCTTCCTTCTTCCCTTCCTTCCCCACCCATCTCCGTTCCTTCTCTTTCCCCTCCATCCC